CAAGCTTGAGTTTCATGAGTAATCAGAACATCTCTCAAATGCCCAGGTACAGCCGCGGGTGGAGAGAGTCAGCTCTCCCTCACAAAATGCTCTCACATCGCCACGTGCATACAACTACTATCAGGGAAGTCCTACTCACTGCTTTCTCGTGGCAGGGGTGTTGTTTACAAAATTGAGAGGACGAAAAGCAAGGGACCGGTGCTTTAACGGGGTTGGTCGACACAGAGGATTCACCTAGCGGAGTTGGGAAACCTTGATTCTAAACCGATTGTGCACATGGACTCCAGGATCCTGAAGGAAAAATGACGTATAAACCAATTGTTGGTTACCGGCTACTATGGGACTGCATCTCCTTACGTTGCTTGACTGCCTTGTGGATCAGAACTTAAGGTCGAAGGCTCAGGTTGTGGTCCCCTAAGAAAACCACCCACTTCGGTCTGGCACCTGGGAAGTATCAGAGCCCATGTACAAATTAAGTGGATTGTGTTGCGCATATGTATTCAATGCCTCTATATATTCACAATTTACCGATCGAAAGTGACTAAATTTGTTAATTAGTTGTGATTCAAGGTATAAACACTTCATAAAATGGTAGGTACATGTCAATCCCATTATTAACGACCTAAGCTCTTATCACCTATATTCGTTTTTAAGGTTTTGACTCAGTTTATTGATTGCAATGTATTGATATTAATATTATTTGAGTCAGAGTAGCCAGTTAAATAATCTGAGTAGGTCTTGTGCTTTTACTCGTTATATACTGTAAAGCTTTGAATCATTGGTTACGTTTTGTTTATTGACTGACAGATATGATGTTTTTCGTAGACTTCTGAAACTTAGGGCTGTTTATACCCTAATATTGCAGTTTGTTCTTTTTTTTTAATTTTGCTTTCATTCCTAATCTTTATACTAGAACTTCTACATTCCTGAGTAGACATAAGCTACTATTTGGTTGTTTTAGATAATATATTCCTTATTTTAATATCTAATACAAATATTCTGAAACCATGAGTGTCATTTGAATAGGTTTTTTAATCTTAGTACAAATCAGATAATAGATATTTTGACATTCTAAAAAATATTGATACTGAAATGTATTGAATTCCAACTATTATTACTAATTAGCTATACATTTATAGACAGCAAGAATGTTTCATCTGCGTTTATCCGTTGGCTGTTCATGAAATCGGTATTATAATAGGCACCATAATCGGAGGAATACTTGTAAACAGTAATCCCACTAACAACCTTTAATGTCTTGCTAACCTGTAAATTGTGATTACAATCTAAAGTAAAGGGTCTCTAAAATAGTGTCATCTCGTTATCATCCCCTACTGTTCGTTGGATCGCAACCTGAATTGGGAATTAAAATGAGTTTTACTGTCAGCTGAGTAATCTCAAGCAAGTGTGCTGTAAAAAAAACTTATGCTAGCTGCTGATTTGATGAAGCAGCAACTACATTCAACAACTAGGTGTTCTTGTTTATCTAAACTACTAGTAGTAATAGGCCGTGTTATTAAAAAAATATGATATACTTCAAGTATTCCATCACACTAAAGAATCTGTTGTTGTTCTTGTCTTCGGAAACGACCTGATTGATATATACTACAATCATCGCTATGGAATGTTATCAGTCCTAAAATATTGTTTATCCTCATACTGAAAAGATCGTCTATAAAGCTTGAGAAATTGACTTGAAAAATGAGGCCTTGTGTTTTTGAAAAGTAGATTCGTTGATCAAGTTTTCATTCCACCAGATGCTTGAACATCATGTTTTTGTGAAAAAAATCACCGTTTTTGAAATTATGTCTAATTTTGATTTTTCAGACAAGGTTGTTCCGTGGAATGGTTTGTTAAGAAAGAGTGTTGATCCGTTAATATTTTGTAATAAAACATTTTATTTTACTATTGTTTGAACACATGAACATTGGTATAAGGATTTTATTTATTTACTTATTTTAACACAGATATTGGTACAATGAGGCACCAAATACATGTGCGCCACACAAATGTCATTTGATATGTGTTAGGGCTGTATTATTATTATTATTATTTATAATAATAGCCGGTGCCCAACGATTGGTTCATGCGCCATTTGTTCCTCCAGGATACTGGAGTCCATGTGCACCATTGGTTTGGAATCACGGTTCTCCAACTCCCCTAGATGGAGTCGCCGTGTTCACCGGCCCGGTTAAAGGGCCGGAAATTCGCTTTTCGTCCTCTCAATTTCGTAAACAACACCCCTGCCACGAAAAAGCAGTGAGTAGGACTTCCCTGACAGTAGTTGTATGCACGTGGCGATGTGAGAGTATTTTGTGAGGGAGAGCTGACCGTCCCTACTGTCGGCCTCTTTTGGGGGCATTTGTTTGAACACAATTATTGGTACAAAAGGTAATTACGTACACATACGCCACACAATAACAATGAGAATACGAAGAGATAGAGAATATAAAGTGCATATAAGAAAAATTGGAACAATAACGAACAGATCCACACCGCCATTACCCACATCCATCAGAGCTGTTTCCAGAACGCCATCGATAGCAAAGTTGAGGAGGAATGGTGAGATCGGTCAACCCTGTCTAACCTCACTGCTTGAATGGAACAATGGAATGGGGTGGTTGTATGCCCTCATTCTACCTGATTGTTTTGCATATAGGGCTTTTTAGATGTTAATAAACTTTTCAGGCACACCCTTCTTCAACAGATAATCTTTGAGTACAGTCGTCCAATAAATCGAAGGCGGCCCTGATGTCAAAAAACACGTTTGTTTCCTGAAATAAGTATGGCGGTGGTAAACCAATACGTCCTTGGCCAGAACTAAAACCATATTGATCCTCGTGGGTCAATGTTTCCAGGACTTTTAGTAACCTGTGATTTATAACGGAAGCTACAAGCGACCTTACGCGTCATTTCCATGGCTTCAACCAATTGTAACCAATGCTCATCTTTACTTTTCTTTGGGTTGACAGCTAACTTTGAACCTTGTTCGGTTTGATATTTAGTTGCAACAGAAACTGCAATCAATCCATTTAGGGCTAATTTTTCGGCCACTTTAAAAAGTAAGATAAGATTATCACAAACAAGGGCATGATCGTAGTCCGGATAAGTATCGCAAAAGAAACGGAATTCTTGTACACAACTACGCCAGCAGTGGCTAAATTGCAATGCGATCAGTCTTAACTTAGGCATGATATGTAGAGAGAGGACGCCAGGTAGTACATCGGATATGATTGTGACGATAGTTTGTGCAAACAAGAAACAGGCTATAGTCTGCTCAAAGTTGTAGTAGTTAATTACCAGTATCTGACATGTGATCAACAAGTCTTCATTGGCCACTCTACTAACTCTCCATTGCGCAACCCTGCTTAGTTCCACTGTTCAAACGAGACAGATGGAGAGAGGTGAGTGTACGCCCTTACTCTACCTGAAATGTTTGTATGTAGGGCTTTTAAGATGTTAATGAACTTCTCAGACACCCTTCAATCGAAAATTTCAGAGCACTGTCCTGTCTAACAAATAGAGGGAAGCCCTGATGTCAGTAAGCATAACGATTGTTGGCCTACAAAAAATCAGCCTGATCTTCGCGAACCAATCTTTCCCGGGTTTTGAAGAAACCGGAAAGTATGACGGAAGCCAATAATTCAGACGCAATCGTAAGTAGATTTATCGCCTGATAGTTGTTGGATATGTGGCGTACGCCTTTTGAAAGATAGGAACAACTAAGGATTCATTTCATGATGTTATAAACAACTCAACGAGTTCCTTAACCAAAAGGTCACCACCATCTTGAGGAAGGGACAAATGTAAATCGTTTGGACCTAGTGATTCGTGACCTCTGCCTCGTTAGGTAGATCAGTCGTCACCTGCCATGAGGGATAGGATAGTCTTATTGATGTCTCTGAGGCAACAGACTTGTTAAACTGCTACTCGAAAAACACTGCCCATAGTCCAAGACGTTGGCAGATGCTAGTGATTGGCGTCCTGTCATCTTCACAGATTATTTCGCTCATGCCAGAATTCTTGTTGCCAGTGGCTTGGATGAGTTGAAAGAGCTTTCGGCGGTTACCAGATACAGCTGTTGCTTCCAACTCATTGACATGCTCCGACCAATAGGCTTCTCAGTCCTTACCTAAGGTGGAGAGCTGACTCTCTCCACCCGCGGCCGTACCTGGGCATTCAACAAACAGACGAGACTTTCAACTATAGAGTATTTATGGACTGTAAAATATGACTTTACGTAGCTTAGAAACACATGTAGAAACAAATTTACATATTTAATTGATTCACTTACCTATATCCATAGGATCATCGCATGGTACTGATTCTTCTACTGTAACTTCTAGGGGTTGTGTTCTAACCTGAAAAACATTTGAGTTATATTTCGCGTTTTGATGTCAACATAGCGACCACAGTCAAGCAACAATTAAATTTAGAATTTTAGACTATCATCCGGATTATTATTAACAAATCTAAAGAGTTTTAATCACATGGGATGGAATGATTAATATCTTACAAACTATCTGATAACACCCCAAACCACTGAGTTGTGTGATCTTTACAACTCTAAAAGTCTTTAATTTGGCGATTCAGTCTGAATTAACAATTTGATGCTGTTCTTTTTATTTTTATTAGAGTTGTAACTTATCGAGTTGACACTCATTTTCTAAACAGTGGGTCGTGTGGTTGAAAAATCTCTACTGACGGGGTTTTAGTAACCTAATAGTATGAAAATTTAGAGAATGCTATGTACAATCTAGTAAACAGAAATATATATGTTTGTGTTAGATTTACTTTGTGCTCATCACTATATATGTGACTACAAACTGTGTAGATCGTTGTTCTTAAAGTTCACAAAAATGATTAGTATACGAGTCTAAATAACTTTATGTCAGTAAAGTGACTTTGATAGTTATCAATTACAATATTTTTGAGTGTAATAAACCATTGTAAAATCAATGTTTTATCTTTGGCATCGTTTCTTATTTTACAATTTCCAGATGTTCGTGCGCCGGAGTAAATTTAAACATGTCTTCGGGAAACCATGCAAGAAAGAATGCTGTTATGAAGACATTCGAATAACAAAAAGTAGTTGGGATGCCCGTTTTTGTGCTGTGAACCCTAAATACCTTGCGATTATTACCGAAGCTGCGGGGGGTGGATCATTTCTTGTTTTACCTATTGAAAAGGTAATTTCCTTTACACTGATAATCATATGTAGATAAATTTAGGCACATCTTGTTAATTGTTTGTTAAAGCATCATGTTAATACTCCTGCTTTCTCAAATAATTTTAAATACTTTGGTCAAAAATATATATTTTGATAAATTCTAAACGGTTTAAACCTTGAAGCAAAAGTTTTATAGTTCAGAAATTAATTTTAATTAGAAAGTTGATCTCACCTATCAAGGTTAGAAAATCATCGCAAATTTTTAGTCATATCAAACGTGGCTCATCGTCTGGTACAGTTTTTCTCAAATTTATGCGGATTATATGTGTTCTTAGTGATTTGGGCTGGTGCTATCCTTGTGACTTTTACTAACTTCAGATTAGTTTGTATAAAAGAAATCATGCTCATTGTATTTTGTTTCGTAATAGCCGTAATTCCCAACTGTTGCTGCTATCTTGAAGTGGTGGTCGGGCTTGCCTATCGTGATGAACTAGTCGGGATATACTGGCTGTAACAATCGTTCTTCAAGGTCCTACCATGCCAGACAGGTCGGTTGAAGAACGGTAAGACTAAAAGCAACAAACCCAAGGTTCGAGGGCGAAGTCGTACTGTTGACTGTACAGAGTTGTGACAGCAGTAAGATATATTCCCAAAAAACCAGCATAATAGTAATGCTGCCTTCCCACAAAGGAAGGATGGGATTGAAAATGGTCGACACTGAAAACACACACCCCTTATCCCACGGGTTTTCGTCCCCGGCGGTAAAGTCCCAACAAGTACGGAGCTAGCACGAAACTTGATCAGTAAGGTCGTGTGTGACTGACCTCAAGCAGTTGTCCCTTTGGCACTGTGGTCACACTCAGGTCACTAAAACCAACTCTAACCCAATTTCCTTTCCAGGTACCTCTAGATAAATACTTCCACGGTGTGGGCAACTGGGAATTGGTAACCACCCTCATAATTCTCACAACACTCGAGACCACTGTATTCATAATTAATTCACCTCTTGATTTCCTATTACTCCTCCTACCTCGACTATCAACTCTAAACTCCCCCTCAAGTGTCACTACGGTCAACGATTCTAACACGCGAAACACTTTCAGGTTTATTGAAACCTCGCTCCATACTACACGTTGGAGCCTTCAACGTACGTACCCTATGTCAAATCGGCCAGCAGGCCACCTTGGCTAAGACCCTAGAATTTCGTACCATTGCACGTCGTGGTAATCGGTGTTCAGGCATACGCAGCACGTGGCCCAACGATCTCAGTCGATGGAAATTCACAACGTCATCAACCGATTTACCATCACTACCTAATACCCTGCGTCTAACCTCACTATTACTTACCCGGTGATCCCAACAGACGCCAGCAATATTTCTAAGGCACCTGTGGTCAAATACTTGTAGCTTACGAGTATCTTCTACTCTTAATGGCCATGTTTCGCAGCCGTAAAGTAGAACGGAACAAACTGCCGCGCAGTATACTCGTCCTTTTATTGATAGACAGATATCTCGCCTTCGCCAAAGGTGACGTCAGTTGACGAAAGTCAAACAAGCTTTTCGAATTCGTGCAGAAATTTCGTCAGACACCAACCCATTAGGGCTGATCAGACTTTCAGTACAAGTGAAGTTGCCAACGCGCTCGACTACTTCACTCCCTATCCTTAGTTCAGGTGTTGACGCAGACCAGTCCTGAAGCAACAACTTGCATTTAGAGGGAGAGAGGCGCATTCCAAACATTCTGGCATTGTTGCTCAGTGCTACCAGAAGACTCTGCATTTTGTCAGCGTCTTCACCAAACAGGACTATGTCATCTGCGTATTCTAAGTCGATAAGTGGGCCTCCTGGTAGGAGATCAGTTTCTGAAAGTTCAGTCGATGATGGCGTTATTTCCATAAGTAGGTGTATGATGAACTTAAACAATAGTGGAGACAGTGGACAGCCTTGACGGACAGCACTTGAGTTTGCGAAATCAGATGACAGTTCGCCATAAGCCCTGACTCGACTAGTAGTATTCGAGTAAAGAGCCCTCACGAGGTTTATGTACTTCTGTGGTACGCCTTTCAATAACAGACACTGCCACAGAATCTCGCGGTCTACAGAGTCAAATGCTGCTTTTAAGTCGAGAAAGACCACCATTGTCGGACGCTGATAAGTATGCCTGTGTTCTAGAATCTGACGAATGGTGAATATGTGGTCGATGCAGCCATGACCAGGTCTGAAGCCAGCTTGGTTCTCTCGTGTTTGCAGTTCACTAGTCTTTGTTACGCGCCCGATAATTATTGAGGCTAGTATTGTTGATGCTATATTAGTCAAACTAATCCCTCTGTAGTTATCACAGGATGATTTTGACCCTTTCTTATTTATTACGGCGACCAGTTATTGCGACTAGTCAGGTGGTATTACGTCCAACTCCCAAAATCTAGATAAAATATTAGTCAGCCTAGTCGCTGAACCTGGACCACTATCCTCAAAGTCTTCTGGAGTCATTCCATTCGAATTAGCTGCTCTTCCTCGTTTCATATTAGCTATAGCTTTTTGGATCTGATTGATGCTGATTTATGTAAATATTCACTTGTACAGGTTGGTCGGGTAGAACGTGATGCTCCTCTCGTTGCTGGACATACGGGAAGTGTATTAGATATACAATGGTGCCCACACAATGATGATCTTATTGCCAGTGGTTCAGAGGACTGTACTGTGAAAGTTTGGCAAATCCCAGAAGGTGGACTGTTACCCAAAACAAATCTGACTACACCCGTAGCAGATTTGGTATGTCACCAGCGCCGCGTTGGTTTGGTTGTCTGGCACCCAACAGCTGAACATGTATTATTATCTGCAGGTAAGTTTTTCAGTACTATGCTTGAGAGTTGTTATTGCTAAAAGCTATTTTGTGTAGACATTACATCCCTAAGATCACAAAATTCGTTTTCAAAGTTCTTAAAATAACACCGTATCAAGCAAGCACTAATTTCGAAAAAAACGTGTTGGTCATGTTATCGTTGTCCACAAAATGCTTGAGCTACTTAATGGAACCTTTCAAGGTCAATAAATGACACTCTATGTTTAGTAAAATAGTAATGATCAGTGGACAGAATAATCGTCTGTGATAGTATTCATGAATTTTAAACTCACATGTAATGAGGTTAAGCACTTGTTTGCAGATTTATTTATAAGAATCTCTGAACATAATATCAGTAGAAGGATTAAACTCGTTTGTGTGTAATGAGTTACTTAGTTTTTATCTATCCTTTGAGTACTATACATCAAAATGTAGTTCAAATTACTAATCAACTTGAGTGATGAAAATAATAATGACAATGGTTAAGTATCAGAGTGACCCCAACATTTATACGACCTCTTTATCATAAATTATCAAAGCCCGAATACCGCCTAAGTTCTTGTTTTCTAAATAAGATATAAAGGAGTATGTCCCAAAGTTTATTGACATTAACTTGAAACACATGCTTTATTATTATTATTGGACTTTCATTTGATTTGTAATTTTTCATACCGTGAACTAATGAAATATAATGTGAGTAATAATTTCCCTTCTTTTCTCGCTGGTTAGTTCTGATCACTTTCTACTTTTAATTAATCTATGTATTCCTAGGTGGTTTCTAAAATTGAACAGGCAAAATATTTTGTAACAATAAGATTTGTTTAAATGAATGTAGCTCTCTCAAATACTAGCATTCTCTTCATACTCAATGCGTATCTTATTGTTTCTGTCATAGTATTAATAGTGCTGATTCGTCTGTTGTGTAATATTTGTATTACATCTCTTTGATTTATCTGCTATCACTTGTTCATTTCATTTTAATTCAGAATACGACATGGTGTCTACAAATTTGCAATAATATTACTACACATCGTACATACTCAAAACAGTCGGTCAGTGAGAACTCACACTCAACTGTACACAAATGTCGATTAGTCTAAGTTTCCATACCACATTGCAACAAGACGAAATTATCATGATGAATATCAAATTACTAGTATCAGTGGTAGTAAAAAATATTGAATGAACAACTTGGTTGAGCGTGTATTTACTAATAGATATTTAGATGTTTACCTAGGTTGATTTATCAGGTCGTTCAATAAATTTGTGGTTTTTATTTTGGTAATATAAATAATTTTTACTGTAAGTAATAAATATATTTTTACTTAATTTGAAACTATTAATTCCAACCTTGGCATTGATACCCATAAATTTTTACTGTATATTTTAATGTCATAATATATTAGATGGCATAGTTGTATGATATGTAAACTTTGAAATTCAATCGGTTAACTTTTACACTATAGTTGAAATCTCCTTTACTGTCTAGAAATTCAAAATAAATGAGTTATTGTTTCATTGGTTCTTATATCCAGCGTCAATTTCAAATGAAGTTATTGTATTTGTATGAATCAACAGCTTGTTTTGATTATAAGTGTTCACAGCATCGATTTTCATCTCATGTCTGATATATGTTTTATCTGATATCATAGTTACAGAATTCTAGCTATTGTCAAGTGTGTTGTTGTCATTTTTCAATTGTGTTATCCATTTGTTTTTTTCTGTCAAGTAAGTGAGAAATTAGCTATGTTATATACATGTTTCTCTATTAATCAATTATATCGATAGAATATGATTAGTGTAAATGAAATGTTGTTGTTAGAAGCTATGGGTTAGTTGTTAAATAATTTAAATTCCAATCACTGCGTTGATGTATTGTATCAGAACTCACCTACTTTATTTTGGCCAGTTGAATAGTAAAAATAACTCTTACATAAAGCATGTAGCTCAAAGCTAAGTAAATAAAATTGGTTTCGACAAATGAGTTGAAGTATCATATTTCTGGAATTCGTGTTAGAAAACATTTTGTAGTGATTTTTACGTCAAATTATTCATGATATACGTGATATTATTTTTAAATGTCTATCAGTCAGCCATAATCAACGCAGAGCGTAGGACATGTGCGTTGGCTTAGGTGGTCACGTCAATACAGCGAACTTACATTGTTAAGATAAATGCCATAGTAGTAGGAAAGTTGGTGATAGTGAGAATGATTAAACACAGGATATATTTAGAGAAGGAACTCAGGATCTAAAGATAAGATTGAGTGTATCTGTACCAGTTTGACCGATCCTGACCCATATCACTCAACGTCCTCAACCACCAATCGCATTAATTTCACGGGTCCCAACTAGGTGGTCTGCGTTTATCGACACAGCTCCGATCAGTAGTCAATAGTTTCATAGATTTATATCACGTCGTCGTCCGACCTCTTCTATAGTGTTTTTTCAACCTACTCCTTTCAGTCAGTCAGTCAACAACGTAGAACTTCGTACGTACGTACATCAGTTCGAGTTGCCAAACCACATTAGCACACAGATACAATTGTCGATTCAAATCCCATAGTGATAGAGGTAGTAAAAGTGTAAGCAGTAATCGGAAAGATTAGGGTTTGAAGATGTTATTCAAAGAGCATAATTCAGTGAAAAAAATTTGGAAAGAGAAAAAAAGGAGACAAAGAATTCAGAAGATTAGAATTTGGGAGAACACAAAGAATGGATGCACCTGCGTCATTGCAAACGATTTTGAGTTATGTCATTTAAGGTCTGACAGACTGACACACCTCAACTTATTTCCGTTATCTTACCGTAAAATACAAGTTGATCTAACCATCGGTTGCTATCATCTCGCGGTCCCCAACCAGGTAGTCTACACCTAACAACATGGCTCAGTCCACTTGTCAGTGACTTCATGGATTTGTACCATATTTTGGTCTGGCCGCCCCTAGCCTTCTTCCAACCTACTCCTACACCGTAAAACATCACACGTCGAGGCAGTCAGTGGTTGGGCATACGTAACACGTGTCCCAGCCATCTCAACTGATGAAGTTTCACTACTTCATCAATTGATTTGCCATCCTTACCTAGTACCCGTTTCTTAACAACTGCATTACTTACTCAGTTGTTCCAGGATATACGAGCAATGTTTCGAAGACATCGATGATCGAATACTAGTAACCTACGAATATCTTCTACTCTTACCGGCCATGTTTCACTGCCATAAAGTAGGACGAAACAAACTGCTGCACAGTAAACACGTCTTTTGGTTGGTAGACGGATATCTCGCCTACACCATAAATGACGCAAGTTGGCAAAAGTTAGTCGAGCTTTCTGTATCCTTGCTGAGATTTCGTCACACACCAGACCACAAGGGCTGATGAGACTCCAAGATAAGTGAAGTGGTCGACACGCTCAACTATTTCACTCCCTATCATTAGTTCAGGTGTCGATGCAACCTATCATAGGGCATGTTTCACAGACACAGCAATGCTTAGTATTTTATGAAGATAGTTTTCTTCTTAGATTATCATAAATAACCGATTAATTCCAAAGTTATCATCATTGACTTATGTTTGTTGAATAACTGGATAATCGTTTCACTTATCTGAAAAGCTGGTTTACCTTCTCTCATCCCAAGATTTTAATGAAGCACAAGGTGATAAAGTTATGTGTGGTACATAAATGAACATTTATTAAATTATATGTTTTAAAACCACTAACGTGTTTCATGGCTATATATCTTTTCGTCTGTTCTTATTTGTGTGAAACCCTCTGCTTTATTTTGTCCTCTTATTATCTAATTAAAGCTTTAAATTGTCCACATAGTTTGAAGTGTCAGTATACCTTGCTTGCTCAAAGGAAATTTATAATTTTGTCGACTTTATCTTTTTCTTGTAGGCAACAAACTAAAATCTAGTTTAATTTTCTAATTTTATTTTTGCGAATTTGCAAGTGAATGATTTTTCTGCTAAAATTACTTCTTATTGTTCTTAGCAAAAGCTATAACGCGTTTACAATTTGGTATTTGATGTATTTCTTTGATGGTCTATTTGTGGCGTTATGTTGTCCTGGTTCCTTTCTATTATTCATATTCACCGCTAAAATAATATTGATTTGATTACTATTCCGTATTATAATTTTTAATATCCTTGTTTGTGTTCAAATTAATTAGGTGCTGATAATAAGGTGTATATATGGAATGTTTCTACAGAAGAGCCATTGGTTGAAATGAAATTCCCAGATATTGTTTTATCTGCTTGTTTCAATTATAATGGTTCTCGTTTGGTTACAACTTGTAAAGATCGGCGTACAAGAGTGGTTAACCCACGTGATGGAAAAGTTATTGTTGTATGTTTCTTTTTATTGTATTTGCTATATCTTGTTTGTTTCAATGACTCAGTCAGTTTTATTTAACGTAATTTGTTTTCCTAATACTTTAGTTGGTACATGAAATATGAAATTATTTCTATTCAAGAGATCATAAAAAGACACTGACACAAATTAAAATAATATTGTGGATGGATCAAAAATGAAATCATAAAACGACCGAAATTGATAGAGATTAAAAGAAGACAGTTAAATAAGAGGGCGTGAAATCTGAATTTTTTCCATCTTTATGATACTTCTTGCTGGTCATAAGACAGACGTTCGATAAAAATCCAATCCGTGCTAACACTGACTGTTATTCTCAGCCATACTTAACAATGTTTTAATTCATATTATCGACTCAAAGAGTTTATAAATGAACAGCATATGTTAACGCAATACTGTCCTTCCTCTGAGTCATGTCACAAACTAACCGTCTGTCTGCTTTCCAACTATCAGTCCAAGGATTAGCGAGTAGTACTTAATATGAAAGCCGTCAAGACAACATCCGTCTAATATATACAATTATGTTAAATATTTTAATATACTAAGTATATTAATTACCTGATTACAGTAGCAACAACCCAGACAACTCACAGAGTAAACTCTTTACAAAACTTATTCAAAAGTGTGAAGACATATTGCAGTATCGCCATTGTATACAGAAATGGAAGGAAATACTTAGTGGATATATCCTCGGAAAATAGCTAATAATAAAAATTAGTCAAGAAATGTTTATCGAATTTACGATTTAGTACGAAATCATCAGCAAAAGTTGTTAAAGGAATAACTCTACTCTATATGGAAAACATCTCCGAGATCACAAACATTAGAGCCATTAGGAACAGGCATAGCCCACAAGCCAAAAAACTGTTATCGTCAATATTATGCGAAGCAAAGAACACAACAACAATAGAAAACAAGGCAGAGACCGTATAGACAATAAATTACTGCAACCGCGACAAATACTATACAGGACAAAGTGACCCCCATGTATGTCTACGTTTACACAAATACCTATTAGCCATTAAACTCCACAACATAACTTCGCTTGTATCCGTGCATATGAACATGAGTTCAACTACGAAAATGTTGTAATATTTAACGGTGAAAACCAAAAGAGAGTCTTTGAAACCCCGTTACTCCACTGAAGCACCAATCAATAAACATCGAGACCAACCAGGTTTATCAGCCAATAAGAAAAGCCATTGAAAACTGCATAGTCAGAGATCAGATCAGGTTGAAAAATAGCCAAACTTTAATTATACTAAAAGTTGTTGGAACGAAATGCGTTTGGTCATTTTACGGTAATAATGATTAACTGCAGTAAGCCAACAATCGTCCTTATCTAGTAATGTTTAAGGCCTAAAAACTCATGGCGTATATAACGGTGGAAATAATCCACTTTACCTCATATACTTGTGAATGTTTTTTATTCGTTTTCAGGAAATCATGTCCTCTGTTTACACATGGGGGTAGTGTTTTGGGCCTTAAGACGGTTTTATTTGTCTGGAAAGTAAATTAGGGTAACAAATCATGATTCCAGATCAATGACAGACTTAAGCGCTAGGGTTCTGAAGAAACAAGTATCATATAAATCTGCCTTAATAATCGATAACCGTGAACACTATATCGTTGATCTATTGTTTTCTGGGTCCGACGCTTATATGGATCATGGGTAGGACTCACCGTTTCATCAAAAAAACCACCTACTTCTAGTCAGTTGTTTTAGAAGTATTGTAACTCCTCACAAGTTATGACAATTAATTGTAAACAACAGTATTTTTTGAATATAATTAATCTCTACGAAATAACTCATCAACATCTTTTGTTTGTTTGTTAAAATGCTTATACAGAATTGTTTTAGAATGAAATGTGTTCTAATTGATATTATAGCATGGGTTTATAGTGCATATGATTGCCATGCACTTCTTGCTTTGTAGCTGATAATTTTGCCTTTGTGCTGATTAATAACTAATTTGTCTCAATGTATGCAAAATTTATTTTATAGGAAGGTATTTGTCATCAAGGCACCAAACCACAAGAAGCTATTTACATTAAAGACGATCGAATTTTTACTACTGGTTTTTCACCAATGAGCGAACGCCAATTTGCTTTATGGAATAAAGTATGTTATGCATTGCTTTATTGATACCTTGCTTTTTTGCTTGACAGAATAACTTGTTATGATGGTAAAATGTTTCTTTCTTGAAAAATTAATGCGATTTCAAGAATACATTCCTTAGATCTGTTCGGAACTGTACAATAGCTATAAAACCAACCTTAGAGAAAATGGTCAATTACGTAATCAGCTTTAAAATAATTTAAGTTTTCCAGAACAAGATAAAATATAACATGTAACACATTGTCAGCTTTCTCATCAACTTCCTCAATTAAGATTTCCGTTTTTGTGAATATAAGTTAATCTTATTGAATAGTATCAAACTTAATCTCAGGAATCCTGGAACTTTCTTCACTTGGATTATCCAGCGTAGTAAATGATGACATAAATTTGCAGCTACCCCGTAATTAGTGCTTAGTGTTTCTAATGCTAAGAAAAAATTGACTTTTGTATATTTTTAGTTTTGTATATCCGTTTAGCTATGTAGTGTAACATAGTTCACTTTCCGTCTATACTCAGTGACATGATTATTTTTAAAAATCGTATAGGTAAATCCTTTGTATTTTATACAGTTTTCATCATTATTGTTCAAAGGACCGTGCAATTGTATGAAGTATAATCCCATTCTGAAAAGAGAAAAGATTCATGGCTTATGTTTTAAATATCTAGGAATTCAAAGGTTAATGACTGTACATTGCTATGACTACATTTGTAATGATAAAAATAAGGATTTCTGGCAGTGACATGCGCTAACTCATTTTATTTTATTTATTTATTTATTTATTTGAACACATACATATTGGTACAAGAGTGCGCCAAATATATATGCGCCACACAACTCATTTGATGCAATATATCTTCCGTTAATTATGATTAAACTTGGTCTTTTTGTATTTCTGGAATCTTGGCTATTTAACAATCGGAGAAAACTAAACAGATTGAAATGCGTAATATTTGTTAACTCCCTCGAAAATCGACAGAACTATGGCCTGTACGGAGAGCCTTATCCGTAAGCAGTATAGTTTAGTCATGGGCTTCTCCTAGCGTCATTGCTTTTTGTTGTGGTTTAGTTTCCACTTTTTTTTATAGTATTTCCCCATCCACATACGATTGTAACGAAGTTGTGAAAAGTCTACCAGAAATTTGTGTGTTTTAGTGGAGTCGCTTCACATTGGATAGTTACCATAAGTTCTACTCAATACATTGAATAACTTAATATATTCACTTGCATAAATTTCATTAATCACTTAAATTGTAATTTTAGGACGACTTTAGCGAACCTTTACACATTCAAGAACTGGATACAAGTAATGGTGTAATGTTTCCTTTCTATGATTCAGATACCAATTTGGTATATCTTTGTGGAAAAGTAAGTGATACTCTTGTTTCATATCATATCTGATATGATTACTTAGTGGTAATCTTATAACTATTTAACCGCCTCTACATTTTTTTTAAATTTTGAAATTTTCATCCTCTCCGCTTGTACAATCACTTGAAATCTTTAAAAGATCTGAATATTGTATCCTTTTAAGGAATACATGTCTGTTCCTAAACTGTGGCACCATGCATTGCATTTCTCTATCATCTGGTTCGAATTATGATGTATGTAATAACTTATTCCCAAGCTGTAATGTAGATAAGATTTGTTCACTTCTATAATTTTATTCAGATAATTACTTCCATTCTTTGTTTTTGCTCGCAACTTTTGTTTACTTTGTAATAAACACTTTTTCTGTGGCATTTGTAACATCCTTCGCTTTAAACATTCTATGCAGCCTAAGAGTGAGATTGTTTAATTTGTTAAATCAATTCTAAACTATATCAATAATATGATACCTTATAATCACGTGCTCAGTCCTTTTATAAGAAGTGAAGTGGCAAGAGTGAACACAAGTTACTCATTTTCATTTATCTTTGCTTTTATGTTCATAAGTTACTTCGCTAATACCTCTTCTGCATAATCATGTGGAAAACGAAAAGTAACCAACAAGAATCGAATATTGGTTACTTTTCATTGTCTTGTGAGCTTTTTTCCTCTTGGAAACTTACATGTAAAGGAAAACATTTAATTCATTTACTGATAACTTTCTAATGGACTGGTCGTTGTCTCTGTCTCTGTGCGTGTTTATCATCAAAGGAGATAGAGAATATCTAGTTTTACATCACATTTATCTTCCGCCTTAAACTTTCTGTTCCAGTCACATGTTTTTTTCAGCCACATGAATGCTACTTGTATATGTACACATATTACTTAAAAGTTTATTATCAAGACCCGTTTTACTTGTTTTTCTTCTACTTCTAATAAAATGAAAGTGTGTTAAATCGTTCAGATGATTACAAAAAAGATCTTGCACATGATTTTGATAGGACTTAAATCTGACAGATTTGTTATTGTTTTGTAAGACATTTCTAATAAATTTATCCTCTCGTCACTGTTTTCAATACAATTGCTTGATTAATGGTTCTGGAATACATATATATCATTCTATACTGTTATCAGTCATACTTTAAATATTGTAGGCTATTGATACATCCAGGCTACTTAAATCGAAATAGATATATAGCAGAGTTTGAATCTACAGCTTATTGGTTGAAAACTAACTAATTCTATACATGGTCAAACTTCATTGAGTTCTTCTTTCATTAGAACTCGTTTGTTATGGAAATTTCGCCTAATGTTTGTGGCACATAACGGTTGTAAATAGATTGTTCTTGTTCATCACTTTTAATTATTATACGCGATATATGTTATGCTTAATTAGATGTATTTCAATGGTTTTCGTCATACGATATCTCCGCACGGAAATCAGTTACTTGAAGGTGTAGGTTGATAATAATGGTACAATCATACATTTTCATCCTTTTCAAAATACAATAATATGGACTTGATTTTTTTATTGTTCAATGTGGATGTTTGGTTTAAAAGAGTTATTTTCAGGGTTTTTGAGGTAACTTCTGATCGTTTTGTAAGATGAAATAAAATAAAAATTAACTTCTTAACATTTCTGCTTCTTAAATTACAAAAATAACAGTTACTTACATACACTTTCCAGTAGGTTATCTTACCTGCCTTAAGGATATTTCCGACTTAAAATCTAGCTGCACTAGTTACGATGTTCAACATATTGTTGACTGTCGACTGTTTTGAACTTAATCCTTTTCTAGCTGGTTGTCATCGAAAGTCAAGATTACCGTATACCCATTCTGAGAGTAGTAGACTTACACTTCTTTCACTGATTTTCAAGTATCATATACTAAAATTTTGACTAACTAAACGACACTCGCGATCTCACTGTTATCTCGCTGTACCACTGACTAGGGTTTGTATGATATTGCTAGTATTTACCGTGGTATTTTAAAGTTTTTACAGATATTAATAGAATTTTTACGACAACGTCTAATTAATTAGCGTAATTAATAACAGTGAGTTAATGAATTGTTAATTAGTTTAAGGAACTAGTTATTATGTCTTATTTTTACCTTACATCCATTTTGACCATATATGGTCTGACTGATTAACTGAAATAAATATTTGCTGTGTTGTTCAGTTTATTTTTTACTCAAATGATCAATTATAGAAACCGTATATCTGGAACATTTTCTCAACTGAATTAATGCCAAATTCATTGCTACATTATTCTAATCTGTTTTTGCAGTATATCTTGTACTATTCATTTTGTGCTAATATTGTATGGCAACCAACGCAGATCTACGTTTGTCATTACTTTGATAATAACTAAGTGACTGACTAATGAACTACATCAATAAGGTTAGAAAGCATTATTTATTCGACTGCAACCACTATCATGAGGCCAAATTATTTCAGTGCACTGTTAATGCTGCTTGTTTTTTTATTTATTAAATTATGTGAATGCCCCCTTTTATAATAACTGTTTCCTTTGTTTTTTCTTTAAATTGTAAATTCATGTGTACCAAAACAAAATCGGCATACATGAATCCATACTGCTGTTGTATTCTTATGAGTCAGCTAAAAAATCATTATTTATTTATGGAATATTTACAAGTTTGTTATCGCATATATTTTATGGTTGAAAATAATCATAAATTTCAACATTGCTGTGTATTTCTTTTTATTTAACTTTTTTGTTAAGAGGTTTAACGTTTTCCTTTCTTTCTCCTCCATAATTTAATTTTTACGTCCATATTTCGTAAATTATTCGGTATTTTTTCTTTCTATTCACATTCCCCAGTAGTAAATTAAGAATAAAATAATCTAATTCGTGGATTGTTTATCTATTTTGTTCGCCTACTATACAGCGCTAATTATTAGTGATGTTACTTGTTTAGACCTAATATAAAATTTGTTTGTAACTTATTTCATGTGATTACTTCGTACAGTAGGTAGTGTACTATATATATATACCACTCAGATTTAGCCAGTGAATTAGTATTATTGCTAACATTTACAGAAAATCTGCTGCCTAAAGCTAGTTAAACAGATAGATAGATTGATGTTCAAGCGCTAGTCATCTCAAATTTTAAAAGATTTTATTTAGTTATTATACAGGCTCAGATTCTTACCAAAACAAGTAGTATCATGGAGTTATTTAATCGTTTAAACACTAATATGATTTTGCATAGCCAATGTCTATATCGTTCGACTATTTATTCATATTTCGGAGCGGAAACATTAATCGCTGTTAAAACATGTAATTTTTTGAATTATATTACTTATTAATACCTATGATTTTGTGCTAGATTTTTACCCACTCACTTTTTAACACTTGGTCACATGCCTACTATTTTTTCCACAAGTTAAACAGGCAGTGACTATTGAGCCATGTCGATAGTAATCATGGTCAGTAAATATGTGTTTTGTTTAAAGTGTATATAGGAATTTTACGTATGATTGTTGGTAGATACGCATATTTTGCTTTGTAGTGAAAAATAATCAAATTTTAGAAGTTACGTCTACCTCTGTTTTGCCAACCAGATACTTTCACTAGTCCTCATGTATAAACGTATGCCTAAAACCAGAATATACAAATTTGTACTTGCTAAAGAGGTGTATTGTATTGTTACCTATTTTATTAAACTGAATTAATAACATATGATGCATCATATATGGTTAATAAATGACTGTAATTTGTTAGTAGTCGAAATGCAAAACCAATATTCGATGCTTAATTTCTCGTATAATTTACCATGTCTGTAACAACAAATGTACAAAATTAGAATTACTGTAAACATCAATGTCTTTTTGTGTAAACGTTTATTCGTATCTATTCCTTATCGTTGGTTGATTTTCTGATTAGATAGGCTGTACAAAAATAAACATCTGTTCACCTAACAATAATAGTCTTAAATTGATCAGTTTTTAGTATCATTTAAACGTGTTTTATTTCCAAATAACAATTTATGCTTAAATCAATAACCGATTTTCTTTTCTCGATTATTCGCTATCACAAAGCAAAGTTTCTATATGAAAATCTTTGATATGGTTTGTTTTAGAGCAGTAACTTACCCATTAGCACACTCGACTTTAGACCGGTGCGTCACAGATTCAGACTTCACTTTATGTACTTTGTTTCTGTCAGTTAGATAGTTTCATTAGTCTTTATAAATATGGTTTGGTTCAAAGCTAATCCCTTAATAAATGACTGACATCATAAGGCCAGGTCTATGAAATTCATCGTTCCAAACCCACATAAATTATCTTTCACTGCGAAATGCACTATGAAAAAATATAAGTATATTCGCTTTGTGAAAAGTTGTGCTGCGCTTCCTGGATTGTATATTTGAGCGCTCACCCACTCCTGTGATTTCTAGCTTCAAGTGGTTGTCTAACTACAATGCAAGATAAAATATAATACCATAATAATTTTCTATTATCCTCTGATTTTATCCTCATCTAAGACAGACCAAATACAAGACATAATGTCATAATTATCAAGATCTAACTTCTTTAAGTCATCTAATTTCTTCCAGTTTTTAAGTAATAAGATCCATCACACATAATGTAGGTTAGGTCGATAAAAATTGTTTTTTCGAAGCATATTTCTTATATTTTATTTCCCATTATTATTATCATTATATTTATCATTCCAGTTAGTTTCACTTTTTAATTCAATCTCTGCTAATGTAAGTTTTGACTACTCTGTCTGATATCCATGAATGGAGTGTTAATAGTTACTATTAATGAACCTTCTCGCATTAAACAAGTTTATTTAATCTAGTGTTTTTTTTTAACCATATCTCTAGGATTATAACATAGATGTAAAAAGGTGATCTTTGTAATATATAGTTTTATATTTGATCTTAAATTTGAATCAAAGGACATTTTTTACTTTGTACTCTCCCAAATATCGGTTATAAATATGTCATGCCTGTCACCAGAAATAATTAACTCAACTGTTTGGATCATTCCCTTAGTCGGGATATACTGGCTGTAACAATCGTTCTCCAAGGTCCTACCATGCCAGACAGGTCGGTTGAAGAACAGTAAGACTAAAAGCAACAAACCCAAGGTTCGAGGGCGAAGTCGTACTGTTGACTGTACAGAGTTGTGACAGCAGTAAGATATATTCCTAAAAAACCAGCATAATAGTAATGCTGCCTTCCCACAAAGGAAGGATGGGATTGAAAATGGTCGACACTGAAAACACACACCCCTTATCCCACGGGTTTTCGTCCCCGGCGGTAAAGTCCCAACAAGTACGGAGCTAGCACGAAACTTGATCAGTAAGGTCGTGTGTGACTGACCTCAAGCAGTTGTCCCTTTGGCACTGTGGTCACACTCAGGTCACTAAAACCAACTCTAACCCAATTTCCTTTCCAGGTACCTCTAGATAAATACTTCCACGGTGTGGGCAACTGGGAATTGGTAACCACCCTCATAATTCTCACAACACTCGAGACCACTGTATTCATAATTAATTCACCTCTTGATTTCCTATTACTCCTCCTACCTCGACTATCAACTCTAAACTCCCCCTCAAGTGTCACTACGGTCAACGATTCTAACACGCGAAACACTTTCAGGTTTATTGAAACCTCGCTCCATACTACACGTTGGAGCCTTCAACGTACGTACCCTATGTCAAATCGGCCAGCAGGCCACCTTGGCTAAGACCCTAGAATTTCGTACCATTGCACGTCGTGGTAATCGGTGTTCAGGCATACGCAGCACGTGGCCCAACGATCTCAGTCGATGGAAATTCACAACGTCATCAACCGATTTACCATCACTACCTAATACCCTGCGTCTAACCTCACTATTACTTACCCGGTGATCCCAACAGACGCCAGCAATATTTCTAAGGCACCTGTGGTCAAATACTTGTAGCTTACGAGTATCTTCTACTCTTAATGGCCATGTTTCGCAGCCGTAAAGTAGAACGGAACAAACTGCCGCGCAGTATACTCGTCCTTTTATTGATAGACAGATATCTCGCCTTCGCCAAAGGTGACGTCAGTTGACGAAAGTCAAACAAGCTTTTCGAATTCGTGCAGAAATTTCGTCAGACACCAACCCATTAGGGCTGATCAGACTTTCAGTACAAGTGAAGTTGCCAACGCGCTCGACTACTTCACTCCCTATCCTTAGTTCAGGTGTTGACGCAGACCAGTCCTGAAGCAACAACTTGCATTTAGAGGGAGAGAGGCGCATTCCAAACATTCTGGCATTGTTGCTCAGTGCTACCAGAAGACTCTGCATTTTATCAGCGTCTTCACCAAACAGGACTATGTCATCTGCGTATTCTAAGTCGATAAGTGGGAATCCTGGTAGGAGATCAGTTTCTGAAAGTTCAGTCGATGATGGCGTTATTTCCATAAGTAGGTGTATGATGAACTTAAACAATAGTGGAGACAGTGGACAGCCTTGACGGACAGCACTTGAGTTTGCGAAATCAGATGACAGTTCGCCATAAGCCCTGACTCGACTAGTAGTATTCGAATAAAGAACCCTCACGAGGTTCATGTACTTCTGAGTTACGCCATTCAGTGATAGGCACTGCCACAGAATCTCACGGTCTACAGACTCAAATGCTGCTTTTAAGTCGAGAAAGACCACCATTGTCGATGTTCCATTCACACTATCTGGGTTTGGAGGGTAGTTGTAGAGTAGCTGAAGGCCAGCTGAACTCTTCTCTAAAATGTTCCGCCCATCGTTCTAAACGTCTGGACTGAGAGCAGATGAGAGTATCGTCTTTGTCCGAAACAATCTCACTTACACTTGACTTATTAATTCCAGTTTCTTTTATTTGTCTGTAGAGTTATCTTGTGTTCCCTATAGCCGCCGCTTTTTCTTTTTTTTGCTTTCGTTGCCCACTACTGCTCACGGTCGTTCCTTAGACTTTTTCTTAACCTAGATCTGATTTGTTGTTGCTCTTCATGATGTTCAGAACCTGATGGGACGAGTTTGCGAGAATCTATCAGTGTGATAGACTTTGAAAAAATCCACTGGTTCTTTGTAACTCTGTGGTTTAAGTCACTAATAGATGTCACTGCTGTTTCCACAGCTGATTGTATAACTTCCCAAGCAACATCTGGGTCAGCCTCGTCTTCAGAACTACCTAAGTGTGACCTCAGTTGCTCCTGGAACCTACTTTTGGTTTTCTCGTTACTCAACTCAGTTCTAATGGGTCTTTTTAATGTGGCTTTTTTGCGTCCAGTGAGGCGCAAGCAGATGCGTGCCCGTATTAGGGCATGGTCGGAGTCCAAGCAGGTACTCCAGAATGAGCGACAATCTTCTACCGACCCTCTCCAACGATGACTGATGGCAATATGGTCTATTTGAGTCCATCGTTGGTTTGGTGTAGGGTGTCGCCGACGATGTCTCTCCTTATGCCTAAAATTTGTGTTTGCTAAAAATAAGCGATTGTCTGAGCACAGTTGCAGCAGACGGTCACCATTATCTGTTCGCTGTGTCGGAATACTAAGATATCCATCTAAATGCCTTTCTTTTTGGCTTAAACTTCCTTTCTGAGCATTAAAGTCACCTGCTACGAGTACTATGTCTGAACGTTTAGCTTTCTGTAAAATTCATCTTCCATTTCATCTGAGCTGCAGTCAGTGGGAGCGTAGACAGAAACGACAAAAAGGCAACGACGTGTATCCCTATCCTTCCGAGTTCTTACGTAGCCGTTTAGCCGAACAGCACATAAACGACTGTTGACGGGGATCCACTCTAGCAGTGCTTGTTCGGCCCTCATGCTTAGTGCTACGCCTACACCTGCCAGTCCACGAGAACTGGCCGTCGGGTCACCAGATACACGAAGGGTGTATCTCGTTGGCTCTCCGTTCTGCCGAGGTGAGGTCAAGTGAATGACCACACTGGAATCCTGTATGCGTGTTTCGGAGACACAGCATACATCAATGGAAAGAGACTCTAGGGTCCTAGCCAAGGAAGCCTACTGACCGATTTGACATAGAGTGCGTACCTTGAAAGCTCCAATGTGTAGTTTGGAGCGAGGTTTCAGTAGACCTGGGACAGAGTTTTGAGCACTAGAATCGTTGGCTATGGTGACACTTGAGGAGGAAGCCGAAAGAGGAAATTTAGAGTTGAAAGTCGACATAGGAGGAATAATAGGAATTGAAGAGGAAGGTTGATTATGAAAACAGTGGTCTTGAGTGCTGTTAGAGGTATGAGGGCGGTTATCACTTCCCGGTTGCCCACACCATGGAAGGGTTCTTCTGGAGGTACCGGAAAAGGAAATCGGATTAGAGGTGGCCTTAGTGACCTGGGAGCGTGACCACAGTGCCCAAGAGACAACTGCTTGAGGTCGGTCACACACGACCTTTTTATGGGTGATTTTTGTGTTAGCTCCGTACTTGTTGAGGCCGGAGACGGATATCCGTGGGATAAGGCGAGGTGTACATTTTTAGGGTCGACCTTTTCTAACCCCACACCTCCTTGTGGGAAGGCAGCATCGCTGTCATGCTGGTTGTCTGAAGGAAACACCTTACTGCTGTCACACCTCTGTACAGTCAGCAGTACGACTTCGCCTTCGGACCTTGGGTTTGTTGCTTTTAGTCTTACTGCTCTTCAACCGACCTGTCTGACATGGTAGGACTTTGAGGAACGGTTGTTCCAGCCAGTATAGCTCGGTTGCTTCATCACGATAGGCAAGCCCGACCACCATGTCAAGGTAGCAACAACGGTATGTATGTATCACATTTCTAACTGGATGATTACCCATCCTATTAATATACTTAGAATGGTTCTGGAAACTTCCAAAAGCCCAAGGCTATCTAAAACACTACAAAATACCCTCGATTTTATGTACATAAACTTACCTTGGAGTAAAGGGTTATTTTTACATTTTCGCCCTTGTTCTCGTTTTCAAATTTTCGTGTAGAAAAGCTTAGTAAACCGAATCAAACGTTCATTTCGAAGACTAAACGGAAATATTTAAAAAAATTATGTACACTTCACCATGCTATTACAAAGTAGAGAGAAATAAAATAAACTTTCATGAGCCTAAGTAAATGTAAGTACAGGTTTGTGGATATTGTTGAATTTCATTGAATGGGCTCTGTTGGAAAGTCTGTCCATTGCCTCCACGTTTTCGATAGTCATCTAACTTGGATCGGTTCAAGATTTCAATGAAATCTAATTGTTGGTTTTTACATTAGTTAGGCACAATGATATTTAGGATATCCTGCACAGATTTTTAAATACCATAATATTATTTTGATTGATAAGGGAGGATATTTGTATTTTACAGATGCTTTGATATGATTTACAATTTTCACGAACAATCTTTCATTAAATTATCTAGACTGCTCATATTTGGATTTAGTTTTTTTCAAACTATTAATTATGGTTTCTAATCATCGATTTTTAAATCACTTTTCTTGTTTTCCATTTGTAAATACAGGGTGATAGTACAATCAGATATTTCGAAATTACCGATGATCAACCATATGTACATTATATCAATATGCTTACTAGTTCTGATCCACAACGAGGAATGGGTTGGATGCCAAAACGAGGATTAGATGTTAATCAAAATGAAATTGCTAGATTTTATAAATTACATGCGAAAGGTTTATGTGAAGTTATTCCGTTCACTGTACCTCGGAAATCAGAACTGTTCCAAGATGACCTTTATCCAGATACAATTGGTGATATGCCTTCATTGACAGCTGATGAATGGATGTCCGGTAAAGATGCAGATCCTATTTTAGTGAGTTATTTATTACCTTTTTCAATACTGTATACCACAATTGTGCTACCAATATAATTTGGAAGATCTATTTTTTTGGACTATGGTCCCAAATCACATAGTGAACTTATTTTAGTGGCCGGTCAATAACGCTGTCCTATTTTACACTGTGTATGAATGGCGTTAAATTTCGCCTGTCAACATATGTATGACCAAAATGATACATTTTGTTTTTTCTGCACACTAGACCTTAACTAATTAACCTTCCAATCGTTTGTTTGAGTTAATCACATCGAGTATAAAGACAGGTGGCCACTCATGACACTGATGATGGTTGACCTAGGTAGGAAATCAAATAAAGATTAACAATATAAAAATTGTTTAATTTCAGTGGCTGAATGTTACTACAGAGTACTTTAAGGCTTCAATTCTTAAAATTTAATCCATATGACGAACAATATGCTGTCGAATTGCTTCAAGCCATATCATATTGCTTTACTTTTAATAGTTTTCTTCAGATAATCTCACTTTAAAATTAATTTAGTCAGTCGTATGCAACATGGAACTTAGTAAATGTGTATTTTTCTAACACCTTTAAAATGTGATGTTATGCTGATCTTAACAATTTTCTTGTGAATTGACTGTTATTCAGGTTTTAAATTTATCGAAGTAGGAGTACTGGTTGCGAAAACTGAAAAAATTAGTTAAGCACTTCAGTTAAACTCTATACTTAACAAAATACCTTCGAAAAAGCACTTATTATTTTTGCAAATTAAATCAGTTTTGTTTTTGTGTTAAGTTTCAATATTCTTGAAACAAAGCTGGTTTTCTATTGCTCAATGATGATATAATTTCCAAAAGTTGTGTGACAAAATAGATAATCCACTGTGTGCTTGATGGTCTCAATTGATTATAAATTTAAGCATATTTATAAGTGGTGTGACCTCATGGGTGACCTTAGGTTCATTGTCTTAAAATAAGGTTCTCTTTATTCTATTTCACGGTTAGTTCTGTTTACTGATGGATAAAATGACTTGTTTTAAACTACCTGCATTGTGGCGGTCGGTGTAATAATAATAACAATAATAATAGTTACAATACTACTAATGATAATAAACGTTATGTATTTTAATAAGTCGGATAAAAGCTTCTTGTATTAATGCATAAATATTTAAACACTATCAACAAATTTTCCCTATACAAATCAATGTTATCAATAGCCTTTCGCTTCCTATCGATTTCTGATATCTTATTGATTTCCGTACCGATCTGTGTACGTGTGAAATTTAATCGATGAATGTAAAATTAAATAATGGCTTATTATCTCCTATTATTTACATTTGCTGTTATATACATACTAATACATAATCTAGTTGTAATCAGTTAAACTCGATATCATTTTATTATCATCACTACTGTGGTTGTAGTATTGTAAATTTCCACCACACCATATGTTCGTTCTATGCGCATGTGCACGCATACATATGTATACAATACTTGATTTTTTCAGTCTATATTAGGTAAAATACCTTTCATATATGGCTAAATATTGTAACGGTAGATCCCCAAATGCATGATTATTTTGAAGTTGTATAAACCCACCCATGTGACCTGACTGTGTGTTTACTACTGGACAATTGTCCACATATTTTGCGTTTTCACGTGCTGCACCATAAATGAACTAACTTATATACGTGAAGGCTAAAAATCAGCTGTTATTTGTACACACTTTTATAGTACGTATATCTGTAGTATATACAGACTGCCAGTTACTTAGATTCAGTAGGAGATTGCAAATATATTTTTTCAAATTTTTTTAATTTCTAACTCTAATTCTACTGGTTTATAAGCTATTCTTTTTAATTAACTCTACGTATGTGAATAAATGTTTATTTCGCCAATAATTACTATACACTCCCACATTCGTGTATTCTGTTCATGCGGACACACTATGTATGTTTTGAAGTTTTTGTTTAATCTAGTATTTATGTATGTTTGGTGTTGTGAAAACAATTTTCATAAGTCTTTGCTTATTGATCCTTCGCGTTGTATTATTATCATTACTCTTGGAACCATAATTCAGTACAACTGCATGTGTCTGTTTAACAGTATGTTTTATTTTTACTATGGACAGTGCTATTTTATTAATGTTCACACCATAGTATTTTATAATTATTTAAGGACTTCACTGTTGTCCAAATAAGAATCGTTTAGTAATATTCATTGTTTTTTTATTCGAACTACCCCTAATTGTCATTTTCATTAGTTAGCTCATTTACTTTTTTATTTTTTATCTTGCTGCACTGTCACATTAGATTTATTTTAATATATCTATCATTCACCTATCACTCTTATCAAAAATCAGCTTTTGTTTTTTGTATTCCAGTTTATCTTATTCTAAATTTAAAGGTCGGTTTTAGGTCCTACATTCTTCTGACTCTACAATGGTTTATTAGTTTCTGTACATCATCTTAATATTCATCGTTTTTGTGTATTTGTTCGAAGAGTTCAAGTTTTAATAATAATAATAATAATAATAATAATAATAATAATAATAATAATAATAATAATAATAATAATAGTGTTGTAATTCTTTCATCTGGCAATCATTTTCTCTTCAGTTTTTGTAATGATAGTGATTAGTGTTAAGTGAATTTTTGTAGAAACTAACATTAAATTTTTTAAAACTAAGCAAAGATGTATAGTGGCTAGTAGTGAAATCCAGGACGCGCGTTTCGGCCTATTTGGGACTCGTCATTCTATTCAATCTGTTTAGTGTATGAAAATAAAATATAATTAATCTGCTTTCTTCATTAGACTATATAAAAATGATATAGACAATGAAGACATTAATTGAACTCTTTGTTTATTAAAATAGTTCTAGTATTATATTCCGTTCTGTTAGTCAATCATAAACAATATGGGATATGAGAAATATATGTACAAAATTTAAATTAATATACATTATTATCATGTATGTGAAACATTGTCAAATACTTTCATTTATTTAGAAATATTTACAAATTTTAAGGATATATTGGCTCCTCTTCCAAAAAAATATAAAACAATATGAATGGTTAAAATAATATGAGGGTACTGATTCCCTTCAATCAAAGAAGTTTACACACAATTTTTTTCTTGTTCCAATATTTCAATTCTATCCTTCCCCATGTTTTGTATATTATTCTGATTTTGTAGATATCTCTAAAGGAGGGTTATGTTCCAAAATCGAAACCGAAAAAACGTATTGGGAAGTTAATCGCATCCACTCCAGAAGCAGATAAAGAAGAACAAGATTCAAATTTGACAGTTCCACAAACTAAAGTAACATCGCATCAAAATCGACAACCTGGCTCTAAATCACCAAATCCTGAAAATCCTCCCAAATCTGATCATCTAGATGCAAATCGACAACGATTAACTAAGAGTACCCCACCTAAAGATACTCCATCTTCTGAACCAGTGGTACGCTGCATCATTTATTTTTTTAAATGGATTTTTATAAGTCTTGTCTGTTTCACATTGATAACCTATTTTTCTGTAAACTTATGTTTTTATTAGGACTTTCTCATAAAATTCTGATGTGACGTTGACTATTAATAAATTAAACTGTCGAAAATTTATAGCCGTATAATAATCTGTTAATAAACAAGTAATAATCGTTCATTACCTGTATTGCACATTAGTTTAATCCCCTTAGATTAAGATTAGACTGCGACAGTTCTTAACAAGATTAAAAAGTCAATAAAAATTTGGGAAATGATATAATGGTAATATAGAGTCTGTAGACAGAAAAAAGTGTCCTAGTAAACGGTTTTGAATCTAGTAAAGTTGAAAAGTGAATGGATTTTCACCATTTTTATCGATCTCTTACTGTGTTTCAGTCGATCTGTAATGTATGTTTTCTGATATTTTGATCAAGATTTAGATTAGCAATTAGCAAGTTTACTAATATTTTGTTTCATCTGATCACTTCAGTGTTATTCCTACTTCCCTAATTTTCAATGCAGGGTAATCACTCACCTGTAGGTGTGGTGTACCTCTCTATTACCTCGATCATTGAATGCTCACGAAGAATTACTCTTATCTAATGCATTTTAGTTAACATTATGGGACACTCAGTTGTTACACAACAAAATAATGACTCTTTTAATCAAGTAACTTTAATCTTTCTATTTTTAACTTCCAATTCCTTGTTCTATAGCTGTGTAATTTGTCATTGCTGCTCTTTATATTTCCTTTTAGGTGGGAATTCATTAAAATTCTACGAATAGTAAACATAGTGTTATTTTACAAACATTAACAGTAATTCTGCTTAAAAGTTACTGAGTTTTATGAATAAGTGTGAAATCTTTCTTGTAACGATAACCATGAGTACAGCTTTCCCAATTTGTGTTTCCTAATGCCCTTTAATCTTTTCTGATTGGTCGTTGTCGCTTTTAATTTGCCGTTTTTTGTGCGTCTCAGTGTTATATATATATATATATATATATATATATATATATATATATATATATATTACTGTTAAAGAATAGTATGTCAGTTTGCCGCCTTATCGAATTAGCAATAAATTTTGTTTAAATATAATGTCAATTCCCATTTTGCTATTTGTTGAATAAAGAAGGAACGAGTTGAGCGAAGAAATTTCTTTTCAATTAGTTTTTCATCATGGCTCTACACTTTTATATATTTGATTTACAATAATGGTATAATACTCATCGAGTGGATACGTTACGTAATAATTACGTAATGACATTTAGATTAACATTGAGTAATTGGAAGAAAGAGGATTATTAATATTCAAAGTAATTACTAAATCAAGAAGTTGCTACGTTGCGTAATATATGAAAAAGAGAAGGAACAGAATTTTATAATACATGGTCAAGGGAATAGTAGTTACGTAAGAATCAAAAGATGAATGTTGAGGAGTTATAAAGTTCAAAAATAACAAAACAAAATTACAAAAAATTTTAAAGGAAAAAAACCAACTACAATAATTTCTAACGTTAGGACATAGTGATTACGGTAGGCCAAAGCAAATCAAATTCCAAAATAAGACGTATTCGTTTTTCGTAATGAAGTAATACAAGCAACTAATTTTTTAACACATATCTATCGACATCCGTAGAACACACCACAATATAACTTTTAATCCAGTCATTTATTTCCTTCCACGTTGTTTGCACAATGATCACCACTCAAAGTTTTCCGAGTTTCAAGAATATTGGACAACTTTAAATTTACATTCAACATCTTAGAAAATCACACATTTTGCGAAATACTACTTATTTACTCTCTATTGTTATTGACTAATTGGTTTCTAAAATCATTTGCAACAAAATAACATTTCACTAGAGTCAGTATTTTTTTTTTACAAAATTTTAATAAAAAAGACATTCGATAACAGTTGTTAACCTTACAGTAATTTAATACGCTAGATTCCATGATCTGAGTTTTTAGATTCACATTTTATTTTTCAAGAACAAACTGACACTTTAGGTCAAAACATACTTCCATAACAATGTAGTTGAAACAATCAACAGATTCACTTATTTCGAAAGTTTCACATATTTTAGTTGGTTGATTATTGACTGGATCTTTGAACTGGTAGGCAACGAATGACTCAGTTATGTTTCCTTACTCACGCCTGTTACTCCTAATGTCTATTCAGCTTGTGCCTTGTCTTTTTCTGCTCTTGTTCGGCTGGTATTGATTGCTGCCTTCTTGTTCCTCCTTTCTTGAATCTTATGCAGTGTATCAACAGTGATCCATTCCTCGTGATGGTGCTTCTTGTGGCCCAGAACCTCATGGCATGTTGAAGCGATTGCTTCTTTGATCCCCTTCCAGTTGCTCTCCATAGTAGTTCCTTCTCCATTGAGTAGATCATGAAAGGCCTGGAACTCATTGCTGAGGACTATCTTGAATTTGTTGAGTTTGTCAGTATCCCGTATTGAACTTTTGTGATATTGTCCGCCCCATTGTCCAGTACTTCTTGAGTTTCAATTTCATCTTGGCGACCAGCAAGTGATGGTCTGATGCTATATCAGCTCCTCTCTTGGTTCTCACATCCTCCATCGTCCTCCTGAACTTTTTGTTAATGGAGATATGGTCGATTTGGTTCTGCGTAGTGTGATCCGGTGAATTCCATGTGGCTTTGTGAATGCGCTTATGTGGGAATATGGTGCCGCCTATGACCAGTTTATTGAAGGCACATAGGTTTGCAAATCTCTCACCATTTTCGTTCCTTTCTCCCAGTCCATGTCGTTTCATGATGTCTTCCCACCAGGTGTTGTCCATTCCAACCTTGGCATCTAGATTTCCCATCAGAATGGTCAGGTCCTTTGTTGGGCACTTCTCTACGATTGACTGCAGCCTATTGTAGAGTTGATCTTTAGCGTCTTCATTGTAGCCGTTGGTAGGCGGGTAGCATTGGATGATGTTCATTGAAATGCCCTCTTTCTTTGTTTTGAAGGAGGCTTTGATGATCCTTGGTCCATGAGGTTCCCATCCTATAAGTGCATTTTGTGTTTGTTTGGACAGCATCAATGCAACTCCTTGTGTATGTGGAGCATTTTCTTCTTGATGGCCGGAGTATAGCAGAAGCACCCCTGAAGCTAGTCGTTGTTGTCCAACTTGCGTCCAATGTGTCTCACTGATCCCAAGCACCTCTAGGTTGTATCTCCTCATTTCTGCAGCAATTTGGAAGACTCTCCCACATTGTACGAGTATTCCATGTACCTAAATAAATGGTTGTTCTGGTTGTCAGAAGGGGCTTCGGCCTCGTGATTTCCGAAGGAACTCGGCTTTCATCATGAGGCGTCGTAGTTCTTCTAAATGAAGACCTTCTGACTCCCAGGGCACAGTTTAAAAGGTTTGATTAATTTTTTCTGGTTAGCGTTTTTTAGCGAGTTAGTTTTCTACGGGATGGGGACGCTAACACCATACCCAACCGTTCTCCTTTATCCGGGCTTGGGACCGACAGTAGCCCCCGGAGGGACTCCTATCGGAGTTCAGTTATGGTTCGAAATACATAAATGTGAGTGCTATGATACCAAAAAGATTGATTTTGTATTTTATTGACTATGGTTGTAAGCTATATCATTGGTGATATTCGTCTTATCTCTTTTAAATTAGAAAAGAAAATAATATCAGAGGTTAATTAGTAAGTTTTGGGATTTATCATATTATCTAATATTTTTGTACTAATTCCATTATTCTTTAAAACGACTCCATTTTTCCCTTTTTTTACTTTAGAATGGTATTTCAACCGGTGCTTGTCATGCAAATCACACCGGTATTCATCATCTCATGGAAGATATTCGCAAAATGAAGATAATTATTAAAGGTCATGAAAGGCGTATACAAAATCTAGAAGAACGTCTAGACTTGACTGATAGTGGTGGAGATTGTGTATCTTCCATGTCTGTCAGTTCAATTAAATAACTGTACACTTACATCATTCGTAAGGCCTACAACAATACCCCCCTTTCATCCTTATTATTATCTGTTATGTGCTACCAGTACGTTTACTAAACACTGTGTAGATCATGTCATATTTTTTGAATTGAACAGAATAACATTGACAATTAACCTCCCCATGATCTATCGATTGCATGTATTATTCTGTAAGCTTTTTTAATTTGTAATAAACATCAGAAAAAATCTGTCTTCCATTCACTGTGAACAAAATTAAGCATATGAGCTCATTTCTTTATCTCTATGATCAGCTCTTTTCAGTCGTACTCTGTCCCCCCCTTTATTTATCTGTATGTATGTGTGAATCAATTGATAATTGATTAGCTGTTCAAATAAACAATACTTTTTAGCATTTATTAACAAAACAATATATATACTCTTTGGCAGTTTGCCTTCTTTCTTGTTTTTTCTCTAAGGCATAATGTGTGGTTTTAATAGTTTACAAATTTACATTTTTGCTAATTAGTTTACTTTAATACAACAAACGCATATACGTAGTCTTTGCATTATATCTTTATATGCCTTTACAATTCACTAAAAATGTGCCACAACCATATATGTATATATGGGCTGTGTTTGCATGTTAACCTGTGTTTACTTATTCAATGTGTGTGTGTGTAGAAAAAAATTATAAAGTTGATGTATCGCACCAGAGTGCCCATAAATTCTCTTTTCTTTACTACACATACACACATTGTTAATGATTTCGATGTCTCTTTCCGTTTCTTCGTTTTGACACCGTTTTCCAGCAAATGATGAGATGTTTCTCTTCAGATTTTTTTATTAATTTCGGTTCGAAAATCTTCGGTTGTTTTACACATGTATGTGTGCTGATTGTTCATCTACCGTTTGGTCTTATCAAAAAGCATATTCTTCACACTGTTAACACACGAATATAATGATAACAGTGATGACAACAGTAATATATATATATATATATTCACTTTCTTGTGTGTGTTACTTGCATGACATCTTTTTATTCTATCAGTCTATCTTCCTCATTGTTTTCTTGTAGTTTAGATGTTTATATTTCCTGAGTCACTAGATCGTCTTAGACTATTCATACTGAATTCTATGTAGATTTTTTTAAAAGTTCTATTTAACTGTATTTCTATAATTGTTTACAAACTTTACAGCTTCTTTACCTCAGTTTATTCGTCTTGATATTATATACGTGAATATGTGTCCATTCTGTCTTTACTTTTTAATCATTGTCTGTGGGATTTCATTTTTTCGAGGAAATAAAACTGATTATCTAATGGAATTTTGATGACTCAGAATTCAGAAATGTTCTCATTGAATTAATGCCTTTAGTTAATGTTATTTGTTGTTCATTTAGGCGTTATCGTTTATACTGTTACTGTTGCTATTTCATTATTTTCAAGGTGGAGAATAATAAGTATCCTGAAATGGATTTGTTTGTTCTTTACCTTTTGTAAAACAGTTTTATTTAATGGGCTTTGATAGGCGACTCTGTATGTAGTCTTTTTTTCATGAATAAAAATCAAAATATTTTTTCATGTAAGTTAGAATTTAAAAAGGCCAACACAGTCAACATTTGTGTGCTACACTTGTCAGGTACATATGATATGACATAAATTCTACCTGAAAATGGCAAATTTACTAATGAGATAGGCTTCTTCACTTAGGTTAGATACGCATGCAGTGTGTAGAGGATGTTTTATGAGTAAATAATTTATAATAATTGGAATATTCAAGTCTATTACAGTTAACAGATGGGATGTATTCCAAGTGAATAAAAAAAATAGGAACTCCATCAACAAGAGCGTTGTAATTAAAATCTTAGACTACCGGTGATTATCACTAGTTAGGAATGATCTTGACCTGGATTATGTCTACCATGAACTAACAGATAATTGGCGGTATTATTGAGGTGATGATTAAGCTATACTAAAGTACTTTCTAATTAAGGTAAATAAGGAACCGACTTCATCTTTTCAACATAATGCTTAGGGAATAATTAAAATGTAAAATTCCCAATTGCAACTAAACCTAGTTTCAGTCATCGTCAGATTATGTTAAGAACTGCAATTAAATATACTGATTCAGAAAGAAAATGGAATTAGAATTGTATATTTATCACAGAATTTATTGTTTGAGTTCTATACTAAACCTGAATAGTGAGATACGAGACTCATTTTAACTATGGTACCGTAATTGATAGCCTTATAATTTGATAATGAAATACACAATGTTTATCAATCATGTATTGTCGCTAATGAAGATTTAATTGTATTGAGATATCATTCTTCATTTAATTTGAATAAAGGAGTATAGAGGATTATGTAAACAAAGGAAAACTGTACTCTGGCCTGTCAAACATCAGTGGTTATCAAAATGAAATGCGTACTTCGTTTTGCAATGAGACAACATGAATGAGGCTTTAGTATGAACTAAGTCTAATTAATTAAGTTGAACGTGAGAGAATAGACCTGTTAAATGTTACATGTGACAAGAAAATCACATGAAATAAACCTAATAAAAGGCCTGGATATAGTAAATAAACAACTAAAAATGTGTTGCAGTACTTATAAATAACAAATAACAGCAAGATATAGAAAAAATTATAACTACTGAAATCAGGAATATATTAATTTATAAATGACAGGGAATTAAGTGACGTAAAGTTAAAATAATATCGAATAACATCCTTTATGGACTAACTGTCGGAAGGATATAGTTTTCTTAATGGTTATTTTAATTGTTGTGCAACGGAATCAACATTCTATTGTAATGCGATTATGTGAATTATAGAAATATATTTCGCTTTCAGTTTAGTGGAATTTCCCACTTTGACATCCAGTAAAAAGAAACGAACCGGACGAAGGAATTTATTTTCAATTAGTTTTTCATCATGCCTATACACCAATATATATCAACAATGAAGTGGCACTCATCTATTAGTTGCGTTAAGTAATAACTACGCTAAGTCACAGTGATTATAGAATATTGAGTAATTTGAAAAAGAGGATTATAGTAATCAAATCAATTATTCGAATATTCAAGCACTTCCCATATTGCACAATATTAAAAAAATATTTTGATAAAAGGTCAGCATTATAGTAACTATTTAACAATCGAGAGACGGAGGTTAAGAATATGTAAAAAACAAAACTGAAATAAACTAGGAAGTTGCTTGAATATTTTCGAAAGAAGGGATTTGTTTAAAGTTCAGCTAAAACACTGCTATACTGATGGTAGCAAGGGTAGTTGTACAGATCTTTTCTGGATGCAAAGGTTAGGTTTGTGAAGAGATTCCGATAGCTTGAGCAATATGCCGAAATCGTAAGCCATTTGGTAAATTTTATGGGATATGCTGGATAACCTTAAAAGCTTTATTCAAATCAAATTGGTGTTCTGTGTTCATCAATTGGGCGAGAATAGAACTCTTAATCACTTACCCGTTTTTCACCCAACTAAAATAGTATTCTACTATGCGATGACGGACTTGCCGTGTTGTACACCCTGTATAACTGGCTCCATAGGAACAGTTAGATAGTAAATACTCATGGGTGTGGTGAATTCAGGCAGTCTGTTTTTATTGATGATTTTTCTTATCGGGAGATTGTAGGAAACCGCATCCAACGTGGCTGAAGTAGATATTTTCTGCACCGCATATTTTAACCTTTGAATTGTATCTTTGGTAGTTGTATTTAATAAAAGTAATTTTAAGAATAACGTCTTCGAACCAGAAGTTACTTTTGGTTCTTTTCTCATTTAATTCCTGTTTTTGAATAACCTCGTTAGATATCTATTCCTACTAAGCAGGATACGAATATTACTCAATTCATCTATATTAGTGTCGTCAGAACAACTTCTGACACAAGTAGTCAGGATTTTTACCAAGTTACTTTTAGATCTGATTGGTACAGGATGGATGAATGTTACTGAATATATTAAGTAAATTATCCTTCTCATGTTCGTTTTCTAATGCTATGAAAGTATCATTTATTTACCGACATTAAGATGTTAGATGACTGATTGTCTTTAACTGGTTCATTTTCCAGCTTTTATTACAACTTAAGAAATGGACTGAATTGAAATTTAATATATAACTATTTAGGCAATCTTTAGTAAAGTGTTCTTATTTTCATTTCTCAATAGCTTTGGGCTACTTTAACTGCTTAACATATATTTTGCATTTCTGTGGCTTTTACGAACGGCAGTAGTCTGATACAGTCCTCATCTCTATAATTTTTTGTGTCATGGTCAAAGCCAATAATTTTCACTCGGGATGCTTCATAATCAAAATCAATATGAATTGTTTAGAATTTTTACAAATACTAATACCACAAACGATTTCCCTATTGAAACACTCCGATTTTGACATTGAAATATACAGAATATTCTTACTGTCATTTATTGACATTCAGTAGAATTAGGTTAGATAAAAAAAATGTCTAATTATTAAAATGATCAAATGCTTCCGGGTGAATATTTTTTTCTTGCCGAATGTACGATTTTAACCAATTCCAGCTCGCTCGTTAGTGATTATTTGATTTGAATTTTGTACTGTAATTCTTTTAAGTTTTGATTTTGCACGGCGTTGAATTCTTATATTGCTCCAATCAAAATATTAAGTGATATTTTTGATAATCATACAGTTACCTAACAGAATGGCCATAAGCATTATGAAAAGAAGGGTGGAATAAATAAACAAACCGTGGTAATACAAAAGTATAGCAACAAAAGAATAAAAAAGTTTGATATCATGCCTCGTATCAAAAGTGAATTAGTGAAGGGTATTCTGAGTGTAAGAACTTGTTTTAGAAAACACGAAGTCTGGAAATTTTGACGTCCAAGTTTATGACAAAACTTAAAAACACATTTTTAACAGTTTTTATGAATAGATTTTATAGAAAACCATCTAATCAGCTTACATTGTGTTTAGCTGTATAGTACCCTAACTCTTGGGTTTTTGTAGGACTGAAATTCCAATTGATTTCCAAAATATTTAAGCACATGTTCCGCCATCTTGTTGTATCAACCTGGATACTACCTATCCTTTCTTCTACTCACAAGCATTTTAAGTGTTTAACATGAGGGGTGCGATTCGGTCAGTGAACGTTTGCTAAAACAGTTTTGTTTTCTTGAGATTGATAAGTTGGCCGCACCACATATTTATTCAGCAAATAGATATTGCTTAGGAAAAAACACATACAAACGTAGATAGAATCCAGTTTGAGGAAAGCATTGAAAGAGCCATTACTGGATAAACGACAAGAAAAAAACTCAGTTGAGTGAAAATCAGGTTTTACAAAAATTAGAACCACTACAAAACTCCGCCTAGAGTCCCTCCGGGGGCTACTGTCGGTCCCAAGCCCGGATAAAGGAGAACGGTTGGGCATGGTGTTAGCGTCCCCATCCCGTAGAAAACTAACTCGCTAAAAAACGCTAACCAGAAAAAATTAATCAAACCTTTTAAACTGTGCCCTGGGAGTCAGAAGGTCTTCATTTAGAAGAACTACGACGCCTCATGATGAAAGCCGAGTTCCTTCGGAAATCACGAGGCCGAAGCCCCTTCTGACAACCAGAACAACCATTTATTTAGGTACATGGAATACTCGTACAATGTGGGAGAGTCTTCCAAATTGCTGCAGAAATGAGGAGATACAACCTAGAGGTGCTTGGGATCAGTGAGACACATTGGACGCAAGTTGGACAACAACGACTAGCTTCAGGGGTGCTTCTGCTATACTCCGGCCATCAAGAAGAAAATGCTCCACATACACAAGGAGTTGCATTGATGCTGTCCAAACAAACACAAAATGCACTTATAGGATGGGAACCTCATGGACCAAGGATCATCAAAGCCTCCTTCAAAACAAAGAAAGAGGGCATTTCAATGAACATCATCCAATGCTACCCGCCTACCAACGGCTACAATGAAGACGCTAAAGATCAACTCTACAATAGGCTGCAGTCAATCGTAGAGAAGTGCCCAACAAAGGACCTGACCATTCTGATGGGAAATCTAGATGCCAAGGTTGGAATGGACAACACCTGGTGGGAAGACATCATGAAACGACATGGACTGGGAGAAAGGAACGAAAATGGTGAGAGATTTGCAAACCTATGTGCCTTCAATAAACTGGTCATAGGCGGCACCATATTCCCACATAAGCGCATTCACAAAGCCACATGGAATTCACCGGATCACACTACGCAGAACCAAATCGACCATATCTCCATTAACAAAAAGTTCAGGAGGACGATGGAGAATGTGAGAACCAAGAGAGGAGCTGATATAGCATCAGACCATCACTTGCTGGTCGCCAAGATGAAATTGAAACTCAAGAAGTACTGGACAATGGGGCGGACAATATCACAAAAGTTCAATACGGGATACTGACAAACTCAACAAATTCAAGATAGTCCTCAGCAATGAGTTC